TAACAACCGCCTAGTGAGAGTCCGTAGACAAGGAACGCTACCCCGCTTTGTGTCAGATATGAGCTTTTCGCCCTCATAAGCAATGATCTGTTCAGACTGAGATTCAAAGCTATCTAGTTTCTCTGTGTCATCTAACGATTCTAAAGACGTACTATTAATTTGGTGAACGATTGAGACCACGGGCGAACCAAAATGAACGCGAAGATCCTTCTTGTTTTTCTCTGTCGCTGTGTCAGGTTCTGCTTTGGGACCAAGTCCAAGGTTTAGTGAGTCACTAAGAAGCGACTCAGATTGAATGGCATTGGTACTGCTATTTGTGTGCTCTGTAATTTGACTGATATCGTTGTGACCTGTGACATCTGCAGTGCAATTTACTATTGGAGGTTCGTTCATTGATGCCACTTGATTTGGCCGTACATTGAGAACATCATCGCCATAACAAACTTTCGTTAGATTATCATTAGACGCGAGTGCATACGGTTCTTTGCCACTGACACCAGTTCCGTTCGGTGCCACAACTCGAGGCGCGTTGTTTTGATCATAACCCTCGTTGTGTTCTTGTACTTCGCTCTCAAACTCCAAATTCGTGCACGTAGTAGAGAGATTGTCTTCATCCATCACACTAATAGATTCTGTCATCGTCTATCCTAACGAATGCTAGTGATTAACGAAATATAGTGTTATTAAATACGAGTGAACAATAAACTTTATAGTGATAAAACACAAGAGCATTGCTCAGCAGACGACGCGAATATGAACAGCGTGTGGCGACACCTGCCCAATCAAATATGTCAGCCCCCTTATTTCGTGCATGATCTGGTTATTTTTGGCAATTTATTGCTTCCGTAGTGTCTAATGTAGCTATACCTAATTATCCTGTCACGCATATGATAGATGCAAGATGTTCCTAAAACCATATAGAGTGAAATCAAATACGGCGATCAAAGGCTCTGACAGGTAAACAAACACGGGAAACAAGTACTCGCACTCGATCAAGTTAATAACTAACCCGACCAGGCTATATATGTGACTAACGTCAATACACTAGGGTATTCTAACCCTAGCAATACCGTTTCTTGGAGCTAGTTAATAACTTAATATCGCAATTAACGTTGTTGAGCTCTTTTAAGAAATGAAAATATTACCAACTAATTAAGTAGTTAACACTGTTGTTTAACTTTAAAAACAGGAAATTCCTGCATGCTATGTGCCTGCACTCTGCAGGCTGCAGTTGCGTTGCACGTATAAATTAAATTATATTGGTATATATACACCCGTTGATATACACCCGTTATATATATAATACACCCGTTGACAGTTTAACACTGCGCATGCGCTTAGCCTAAGGTCAAAGGTCGGGAGGAATTTCCGTCCCAGAAAGCGCGAGTAAAATGCGCGAACAATGGCGTTAACGTGTAGTGTGAAGGGCTGCTCAAACGGATCGTATTGGCTTAAGAAAGACTTTTAGAGCATGCATTGACCATAATTTAAAGGTATCAAGTGTCATATGTCACTCAGGTCATCCATTATCGGTGCTCTATTCACTGCTACGTGCACTGTTCTTCGACACAAAGGTTAGCGACCTGCGTATGCAAGACAGATAACGCATCGAGATAAACAATATTGCGGAGTTTACTCGCACATCCGGGCTCTCGCGGAGATGCGTAACTAATGGCGCAGAACATAGGCGCAGAACTGTCAATGGGTGTATTGCCTATTCATTGTTGCCTGTTGGTAATTCGAGTTTCAAAGATCAAGCATATATCATATGATATAATGTTTGATATTCAACGCATGGCATAGCCACAAGTTACTTTGTCACTTCTTACTACATCGCGAGAAGGTCACGAACGAACTAAGCTCATATACTATACTACCTAACAAAGCACTGCAACAAAACTAAACCTCTCGCTTTGTAATGTTACAGCTTATATTGGCATCAATTGCCGATTCTAAAACTTTGTCACTGGCTTTTAAAATTATGGTTCTCCCCACATTAGAATATTTTTCGCCAAGCTGGTGCCCCTATACACTTCAGACAGCCCTCGACACTAAAGGTTGTCCGATTGCCCAGGACAAGTGAAAATCTAGCTACGTCGGACAAGTTATTCTCTTGGCTAGTTGCCCGATCAGACAACTAAAAAATTTCCAGTTGTGTAAAATTCCTAACATCCTTTGAGCCAGGGCGCTAGCGCACGACATTCGCGACACCCGTGTCTGTGGCTGTGTACATAGTTACAGGTGAGTCTGCATATAATGAGAATACAGGTTATAGTCTCTAGGTAACGAGAATTCAGGATGTTAGGTGACCACTATACAAAACCTAGGCATCGAGGCATATGCTTCTCTACGTTGTGAAGTCAACCGGCCACCCTAGGCTAACCTGTACGTCTGGCGTTGGGTCGAATATTGCACCAGTACCACATGCCAAATACCAATTATGCAGTCAGGTTTAAAGCTTTGCTAGCTAGTAATGCTTGCTAGTATGCATCCGTTAGATGCACACACAGTCTTGTCGTGATGAGAAACAGTATGTACACTACACTACACAGAGGGAGCAGTGGCGCCACCTACCTGTAACTGGGATGATGAGAGACAATTACGACTCCAAGCAGGTTCGCACACAGTCCGACGGTCAGTTGTACTACGAGCAGAGTGTTCTCCATCTCGAACATGATGAAAGTCTATATATACACCTTCGTGGGTGTGTTATTTCTGTGCGGCGTCGAGGCGCTGACAGATTCCGTGACGGATGGCTGGTTGGCTATTTTATTACAAGATTATCTGGTAGGAAGCTTTGCAAATTAAAATAGCCGTATTTTGATTTTTAGCCAACTAGAACGCATGTAGATATTTCGCATCAGCAGCTGGCAGCATAAGCTGTCACTGATGTTTCTGAGTTTTCTAGCTATAAGTTTAACGCTGCAGATGAAATTATGTCAATTTCACACTCAGGATGGCGCCACTCGTTCGTCGTTCACAAATTTTTAGTAGTTGATCTTTGCCAACACGAGCTGTAGGAGATCCTGCAATGACAGAAAAACGTATGACTTTTTGTGAAAGCAATCACCTTTTTTTACTTGGTTCATGTTTTACCACAACCTTTAGGGGAATGTCAATAAAAACAGGTTATCCAAAAAACATGTTATTTATATATTCAGCCTCGGCTGAATACTTGCACGAGAGCAAATTATTAGCATCTACTTTGCTGGGCGATCAATGCGTCAGATAACCGCGTATAATCATCGATAAATCATAAATATTTACTAGATCAATCATCAACAAGATAAATTCCGACAGATTCTACTTGTAAATCAACAAATGGCTCGACAATATACACAACATACATTCCCAACAAACACACACAGCGTATATACCTATTTATAGCAAAATAACGTTGATGTATCAATTATTTACCATGTCATCGTCACACAACACATGATATATATCACATCACTTACCAGTAGATCGAATCTGTCAGCGCGATATTACAGATCTCACACACGTGATACGGAAACATAGACGTCCACACACTACTATAGATACCTCTTCGTGTAAAAGTCGACGTACCCGGATCATAAACGATCAAGTGATCGCACGTACGGTGACGAAATGCGGTCGTTCATATTACTGTACATGGCTGCAGCACAGATGAGCACTTTGCGGAGGCTGCGCGGGGGATGAGGAAGCTGTGGCTGTGTGTGGATGCTGAGGCTGTGTGCATATGGAGGCTGTGTGGGGATGCTGAGGCTGTGTGCATATGGAGGCTGTGTGGGGATGCTGAGGTAAGGTCGGGAGGAATTTCCGTCCCAGAAAGCGCGAGTAAAATGCGCGAACAATGGCGTTAACGTGTAGTGTGAAGGGCTGCTCAAACGGATCGTATTGGCTTAAGAAAGACTTTTAGAGCATGCATTGACCATAATTTAAATGTATCAAGTGTCATATGTCACTCAGGTCATCCATTATCGGTGCTCTATTCACTGCTACGTGCACTGTTCTTCGACACAAAGGTTAGCGACCTGCGTATGCAAGACAGATAACGCATCGAGATAAACAATATTGCGGAGTTTACTCGCACATCCGGGCTCTCGCGGAGATGCGTAACTAATGGCGCAGAACATAGGCGCAGAACTGTCAATGGGTGTATTGCCTATTCATTGTTGCCTGTTGGTAATTCGAGTTTCAAAGATCAAGCATATATCATATGATATAATGTTTGATATTCAACGCATGGCATAGCCACAAGTTACTTTGTCACTTCTTACTACATCGCGAGAAGGTCACGAACGAACTAAGCTCATATACTATACTACCTAACAAAGCACTGCAACAAAACTAAACCTCTCGCTTTGTAATGTTACAGCTTATATTGGCATCAATTGCCGATTCTAAAACTTTGTCACTGGCTTTTAAAATTATGGTTCTCCCCACATTAGAATATTTTTCGCCAAGCTGGTGCCCCTATACACTTCAGACAGCCCTCGACACTAAAGGTTGTCCGATTGCCCAGGACAAGTGAAAATCTAGCTACGTCGGACAAGTTATTCTCTTGGCTAGTTGCCCGATCAGACAACTAAAAAATTTCCAGTTGTGTAAAATTCCTAACATCCTTTGAGCCAGGGCGCTAGCGCACGACATTCGCGACACCCGTGTCTGTGGCTGTGTACATAGTGGCTGCGTACATGCCTGCTGGCTGGGGCGCATTGATTGAATTATGGGGGGGGGGAGTGCACTGATTGTTTTAGTCGTGCGGGGCATGTTCATTGAATATGTAGGGGTGTGTGCACCGCTGGTATGAGAGAGCGACAGCAAAACTCTTTCCTGGAATTGAGAAAAAAGCTGCAATAGGCACGCAAGAATAAACGTGGGAATTTCATTACGATTTTCCATGTATATACTGTAACATGGTTCATACAGGAGGACTGAAAAAATTTTCAAGGACTTCAAGGACATTTTATCAGAAATTCAAGGCCATTTTAATGGACATTTTATTGGAATTCATACACAGAACAAAACATACCTAGATTAATTTAATAACCCCATTCTTAATCACTGTCACCTCTAAAACTTACCTGGATCACATTAATAAACCTTTCTAAACACTGTCACATCTACAACATACCTTGATTTACTGACTGATTTTAGTGACTTACTGTAATTTGTGATCATCATTTAACTGTCTATCGTGTCTATAGCTTTTTAAGCTCATTTAACACAATTATTATTGAGGTTTGCACATTATTGATGGTACAAAATTCTTTTTATTACAGGCAAGGATTCTTTCTAAAAATTCAAGGACATTTTCATGAAATTCAAGGACTTTTCAAGCACAAAATCAACATTTACTAAATTCAAGGACATTTTCATGAAATTCAAGGACTTTTCAAGCACAAAATCAACATTTACTAAATTCAAATACTTTTAAAGGACTCCCCTCAAATTCAAGGACTGTGCGAACCATGTGTAATATGATATGCACTGAACTAAAAATGTACCTTAACGGCTCTAGATTGCAAGTAAATTTTGGACAAGTAAAAATTGATTCTTGTTGCCTGACAGGACAACCAGATCTGAAAAGAAGCGTCGAGGTCTGTCAGACCTGTTATAAATTAGATGCCATTCAGTATAAAGCTGCAAGATGGGTATCCAAAACTTATCATGATAGTTTTGAGGTTGTTTTGACTCAACTTTATTAGCCTCTTCTTTATGTGTGCTTTCTCTATGCTAAACTTATTGCCTTTCATAAATTTTATCATGGCCAGGTAAAGATTGGCATTTCCTTTTTAATGAATGAAACCTGTTCAGAGCACTCGATCATCTGAGCGTGATCATTGCTTTCGAAATGTGCCATCTTCAAATGATCCCTTTAAGTTTAGCTTCTTCATTTCTGTCATTCGTTATTGGAATTTCTTCCTTGCTCTGTCGTTAGTTGCAAAATTTAAGTTTTTTTACTGCGATTCACAGTGTTGATCTGTTTATTTGATATACTTTCTCTCTCTTTCTCTATATCTTCAATATAGTCCCTTGGACTTTGAAGACTAATCTTTATGAGGTTATAAGATTAAACAATGTTCAACTTGTGATTGGCTGTTACCGCTTCTCTGTAGTTGCGCATCATTGTTAACTATGAACACGCTATAGCTAACCGTGTATTTGTGATGTATTTCAGTGCGTAGAAGAAATTATGAGTTGATAATCGAGACAAGATTTATTGTTGCATTTTAATGGCGTGTACAAAACCGTCCGCTTGAACAGAGAAATGCTTGCTAACAGCAGACTGCAAAGATGTGCTGCTATTGGCTGTGCAGCCTGTCCTGGATCACACCATTGACTGGGTGTGTCCAAACGACCAGGCCAATACATCCGACGATTAATTTACATAACTGTATACACGTTATGGTATTTACGTGCTAGCAAGTATAATTGAGAGTTGATAAGGGAGAGATATGAACAAGGCAGCCATTTCTGTTTGAAATCTGCATGATATTCGTGCACACTCGGCAGTCACGCGTAGTTCTCGCGCACATGCAGTAATGCAAGTATGTAGTTTGCCAATTTTCGAAAATAGTTTATTTCTAAATTGTTTGATTATATCATGAATGTCTTAGAAGTTATAATATCAGTTCAGTATGTCGTGAATGAGAATATACTTGCAACATGTAACAAGTCAGGTCAAATGAGGTAATAAAATTGTTTAATTTACAAAATTCGAAGTTTGTTTTCAAGTTACAAAAGTTTATCGTATTGAAGGGTGTCAGGCTCCTAGGCTGTGTAACAGTCATAGAGCCTGGCCAGGCTATGCATGGCGTTGCTGTTGTTGCTGTCGTTTTCTCTCTCAAGTAAGGAGGACATGGTCAAACAACTATAACATTTATTTCCTAATGTTTTGTGAGCATGATGAGTCGGATGACATGTCACACCTATGTAGAATTCCATATCGCCAAAACAATTTATATTGCTGTTTATTGGCTAGATCGAGTTCTGCAAAGGCCCAATGTCATAACTATATCTACTCATTTTCCTGCTTCAGGCGAAAGTTGCGAGCCTCTGTGACACAGGCTTACCCCATCAGTGATGAGCAGGTATCGGAACTGATTCCAGCCAAGGATCCGATGACTGTGATGAAGCTGTACACATATGCGGGCGAAACAGTGCATGCATATACCGTCGACAATAACCCTATCTTCTTCGAGTTGGAGAACGTCATCTACCCAACAGTTTACACTCTTTGGAAACATCCCGATCTCCTCCCAGCCCTCACTACATGGCCATCTGTGTTCAAGAATCTCTCACAGGGTGCAGATCTAATGCTTCCTGGAGTTATTCTCAAGAACGACATTTTTGAGGCTTTGGGTAAGCGCAACAAGGGGGCACCGGTAGCCATTAGTCTGAAAGGTAATCGTGCGCCTGTAGCCGTAGGGAGAACACTGCTGTCCACAGAAGACATGTACATGTCAGCAATGAGAGGCAAGGGGGTGGCAGTTCTTCACAGCTACATGGACCAACTCTGGTCGCATGGGAACAAATCTACACTTCCGGAGCTTGCCGAGCAAACACAAGAGTTTGCTGTTGACGAAAGTGAAGGCATCGAAGATGCTGAAGAGGAAGAGAGACCCGAGGTCGCCGTCGAAGGTCAGCCAGCGAACGTGAATTTACCGCAAATTGACACGCTTGAGATCAGCGAGGCACTGGAGGCTTTGGCTTCGCCGGTGTCGAACGACGGACAAGCAGCCGAGATTGGCAGTGAAGCGTCAGCGACTAACGCCGAGGAGTCGGGCATGGAGAGAATGGACGCCTTGCTGCTCCACTGCCTCTGTGCAGCACTGAAGACGTCCGGCAAGAAGATGGAGCTTCCCTGTCTAACGAGTGCGTTCTACAGCGCGCACATGCTGCCGGCCGTGCCGCCAGGCGCGCGGCTCGACATCAAGAAGTCCTCGTACAAGAAGCTGTCTCGGTTCCTGCAGGCAATGCAGCGCGAGGGGCTCGTCAGCACGAAGGAACTCACCCGCGGCGTCGACAGCCTCGTCGCGATCAACCATGCACACCCACGACTGCGGCAGTTCGTCGTCCCGCCGCCGCAGGAGCGCGTCTCCGCCACACCCGAGGAGTCGAAGGAGGTCGCGGGCGGTCCGCGCGTCGTCGAGATGTTTGCGGTGAACGCGGCCGTCCTGCCGATATTCGCGCGGCAAGGCTACAGCAAGGGAGCTGCGCTCGCCGCCGCGGACGTGCGCGAGGTTGTCACCGAGCACGTGCGTCGCGCCGACGGCCGGCAGGGGGCGCTGGTCGCGATCGACCCGTCGCTGGCCGACATCGTGCTGCCGCGCGGCGACGCGACGACTCACCTCCGCTGGGACGAGCTCATGCGGCGCGTGCAGACAAAGATGCAACCCGCACATCAGGTGGCGCTACCGGGACGCGAGCCGTTCGTGAGGAAGGGGAAGCTGCAGCCGATAGCGCTCGCGTTGCATCAGCGCTCGGGAAACAAGAAGGTGACGCTCGTCTCGAACCTGGAGTCGTTCGGCATCGACCCGGCTGAGTTTGCTCACGAGGTGCAGGTAGGGGTCGCCTGTAGCACGTCCGTCGGACCTCTGCCCGGGAAGGGGGCGCTAGCGCAGGTGCTCGTGCAAGGCAACCAGGTGCGCTTCATCGCGGCACTGCTGGCAGACAAGTACAAGGTGAACCCGAGATACGTCACCGGCTTAGAGCATGCCCCGAAAAAAAAGCGCAACTGACGTTGTGATACGCCCCTCGATGGTGTCTCATAATGTGAAAGCAGTAATCACGTTACTTGTGTCAACTACGTTATTTCCTGAATTGTTATTTTGTGTGGATGCTACAAGTTACAATAATGCCTCTTCTATCGCAGGTTTTCCAACCACGGAATTCGAGTATTTGCTGGTTACTATTCGCATGCTAGTTTTCCAGTCATGACACAGGTTTCAAGTGTGGACGGTTTATCCACGGTTTGACTCGTCACTGCTACACGCAAAAATTCAAGTCGTGACGAGAATTCTCTAGTCTGCCGTTTGCTTCACTTTTATTGTTTGATCTTGTAACTTGTGCTGCCCAGTAACATGTCACATCTAGCGGAGAGAAAGGATCTTAGATTTGAGATTCCTAAGCGTAAAAAGATTTTTGCTATCATACCATTATCAATAACCTTCACTAGATTCTGTTAGCACCATTTAGTAATACAGTCCGACCTCCGTTATCCAGCCACGTCGGGACCAGCACCCATCCGGATATGGGATTTGGCCAGATAGGAGAGTTATGCTCAAACACAGCATTTCTATGCAGTTCAGTAGGATTTTACCGGAGGCATAGCGGACACGAGCGGACAACACGCGCACGCACGCGTGCACACGCAAACACATACGGTTGGTACATCGCGCGAGTTTTGAGCGAGCTTTGAGAGAGATTTTTAGGTGGAAATGAATGAAAAACAGAGAACATACACTGCGAGATCGCAGCCCGTTAATAGAGATTTCCGGATAACGGATGGACGGAGGAGGTCGGACTGTAGTCTATAAAATGTTATTTACTATAGGGTGGCTGCCAACTCTTGATTAATTGAACATGGCTATTGGCAAAAAAAAACGATATAAAAGTGTGAATGTGTATCCATAGAGTGACTTATATTTAATTGCTTCCTGTCAACATCATGTATAAAATAATCAATGATTCAATATAATTGTAATGAAAAAGGCGAGAAAGGTTTGAGTAAAATGACATATGTACAATTTTATGAATGAATAAGCAATTTAAAGTGTATTTAAACATACACATATACATTATTGGGCAATAAATGATTAAACGAACTACATTTGACCGCAGTAATCTAGTACACTTTTAAGGCAGGTGAGTAATATTAAGTTTGTAAGGTGAGTCATATCAGCACATTACTACAGTTCCCTTATGTGACTGTGTGTCTAAAATTCACATACATATTTTTAGCTCATCTGACATATAGTCGGATGCAGCTTGTAGAATCGCATGAGCA